ATTCCTTTCTTCACTCCATTTTTGTCGGAGAAAAGAGTTATCCCCCTCTCCTGCATTTCCCTTTCCCCCTCTCTTCTCCCTCTTCTTCACAAACCGATCCCTAAACCAGCAACAACAACACAAAAATAGCCTTCGCCTCAGACAGGACTGCAGAAGCAAAATTTTCTAAAATCAAACTAAATTTTTTGAAGCAGACTCAACCACGAAAAAAGAGTAAAGCAACAATGCAGTGGAACCCTAAATTTAACTACAATCAAACACATATCAGCAAGATTTTCGATTTGTCTGAGAGTTAACTACAAGGAGAGAACAATTGATGCATAATTGAAATGCTCCAAGCAAGTTGAAGGCAAACCATAACTTTAGAACTTGGTCATTATAATAACCTTCAAGTATTGATGCTTCTAAGAACTATCATGTCCAACCCCCACTTATACAACTACGTAGCCATAGTAATTAGTTGTATAATGAGAAATATTACAAAGAAAACTACATAAACAACCAATGTAAGTAAATATTAAAACTAACAACTGATAAAACTTAAAATCTCTCTATTGGTATAAATGTATCTATTAGTAACTACTATGCAATCGAGTATATATGATTTTTAGGCACTGAATAAGAAAAGTATAGATGGCTCACAAATGAAGACGTAGCAACTGAAGGTAGCACACAAAAACCAAAAATAGAAAAAGAGATAAGAAAAAAGGCGAGAAAAAGTCAAACAAAGAAAAAGCCCACATAGGAATACCTCGCTAGCTTTAGGGACTCTCTGCCACAACAAACAACCTTCTTAAAAATCTAACACCCTGAGACATCAAACAAACCTCCCACGACACTAATGTATGACATTCCTATTGTCCAATAGGTTTGCCCAATTTAGACTTCTAAATAAATGGACTTTTCACCATTAAACCAAAACTCACAATCATTAACAGTTAATGCAAAGACATACATTTATGAGGCCAATCACAGCATTTAAGCATAATTTTTAGTTGAAAAGAACAACTAAGTATTTAGCTAAATGATATAGTAGAATGGACACAATCTGCTACCTACTAATGATATAAACGTGTACCAGTACCATCGTTGTATCCTGACTTGCCATTTGCAACGGGCACTTTGAAAGACAGCTTCATTTTAGAGAATAAACACCCATAAGGGCGTTACGAAACCAAGCTTAATCCAAAATCTTCATATTCCACTTCGAAGACTCCATTTTCAAAAATAAGAGAGTTTAACATGTCAAATCACTCATTTGAAAAATCTCAAACAACTATTAATCAATGCAATATAAAGGCACGTTCCAAATTATGTACTTGTAGGAATAATCCCAAATAATTATCAATTAATGCCCCAACTACCTAATGTGCAGAATAGCCCTGGAGCTGTGCTGTTGTTTGCGTTGGTCTACCTTCAAACATAACATAGTTGCATCACGAACCAAAGCAATTAAGCAAAAATCTTCATATTCCAAGTAGAATGACTCAATTCAATTTGGCCAACGCTTTATACATATTGTTTACCCCTGGACCTGTTGCACTTGCGTCTTCAGATCTTCGTGAACACAATACAATTGCGGAGAGGAGGCTGTCAACGGAATAAAAATTGTTAATTAAGTGAATCACCATACAACTAAACAAACGCGCTCTTCTTGATTAGCTATCAAAATAGTGGGGGTCGCTACAATCCATCGGTTGCTCCCTTTGCACCTAAGTTGTAGATATTAGGTTTCAGTGAGAACTTTGAGTACATGAGGAGATATTTTGTAGTGGAGGAGATGACCCGGCGAGTAGAATAGGAAGATTTGGAGAGGCTGCGATGGGCAAAGCAGTTAAAATCGAGATTTTACCTAAAATCGAAAACTGGGGTAAAATCAAAATCGTATAATCGAATCGTAAAATCGTAGGATTTTAAGTACTATATAAAACATAGCATATAAGGATATTAATAAGGTAAATTATTAATATCACAAAGACACATAGCATTTAAAATGATAATTCAGAAGATTTTTTTTTCATAAGATAATTCTCAAGATTAATGTTCCTAAATCACTATTTTAATTGTTATTTAATGTGTAACTCAAAATAATTCATGATGAAGGGATATAGTTCATGGGTTTGGCTCTTATTTTCATGTTATGTCTAGGTTGTTTAACTCAAAGTAATATTTCGACATCGTCTACTAAGTATGATTTAAAACTAAAAATAATTGAACTCCAATAAAATAAGTAATGTTAGTGGCTTGGTACAAATATATTCATTAATAAATTAATTAGTTAATAATGATGTTAGTTCTTACATACTTTCAATATTAGGACAGGTGTTTTACCAATAAGTTAAATGGGGTGAAGGGAAAGAGATTAACCGAACCCTAATTTGGTTATTTTTATTATTTTTGAATATTTTTCTAATAGAAAAAGATTCCATTGCCCTTTCCGCTGAAACAATTATACTTATTTTAAATTGGCTCAAACCACCTATTTTGTTCTCTTATGATCAAAATCCCGATTTTAAATGATTTTAAGGTCCACCGATTTTATAGTAAAATCAAGATCGGAATCCCTAAGTAAAATCCTAAAATCCTACGATTTTACGATCAAAATCCCGAATTTGACTGCATTGGCGATGTGTGCACGATTAGTGGGCCAAATAACATTTTGGGCCCGTTTAAATGAAAATATATTTTTACTTTCGTGCTCAACAGACCGACCGCACTGGCATCTTCTAAATTTACCCCTAAAAAATTGCTCTGTACGCATCAAATTTGAAATGGAATCCCTCTTTTCTCATTTCACATTTCACATTTATATGATGTGTAGATTGTGATGAGTGTAGATGTAGACCTGTCATTGTCCTACAAATTCATTAACACGCCAAAAAGTGGTGAAATGAGCCACCCTATTAAACACAATCTTGTATAATGATCATTGGATCCAATCATGCCAGATTATGAAGAAGTTTAAAATGTAGCGGTTATCCCGACTAAAACATTAAAAGAACCAGTCTCATATAGTTTGCACAAAGATAAAATTTCTCCATAGTAATTCTGAAAAATAATATTAATTTAAGAAGTCGATATTGCTTCTACATGTTTAATATTGCAATTCGATATGCAATATTCGAACCAATGATATTTGGGCTGCAATTTTAGGGTTATTGTATATTTATAAAATAGAAAGAAATTTAAATTAAGTATTAAACTACAACTAAAATAATCAAAGTATTAAAACACCAAATAAGTACTTACGGGAGATTCAGTGGCCAATTAATCGTTAAAAAAGTCATATGATTTCATAATTTAGGTTCGTGTATGTTTGAATTTAATTAGATACAACAAATATACTTAGTGTGATTGGTTATGATCCTTGCTTGCCTTTAAAGAGACCAATGTTCAAATCCCAATGCATGCCTTTTTTATGAATAAATAAATAAGAAAATAAGCAATTGTGAAGACCAAAATGTCCTTCCTATAATCACTCTCGTTGCAGGAAATTTGAAATGGAACAACAGTTTTCATCATTCGGCTTTTATTTATTATCTAGATTCTACTCGTACGCATGGAACGGAGCCGGATAAGGATAAGTGGATAACCAAGACAATACAGGTTCAAACTTTTAAGTAATTTAGTTTTCATATATTGTGTATTTGACCTAGCAATTTACTCGCAAGTTGTCATATTTAGCAGATTGAGTGCCGTAAGTGTTGTCAGGCATCCTAATGCAAGTTGGGTTTTTTTTTTTGGGTGGGGAGCCGGATAAGGATAACCCTAAGGCTGGTATGGATTTCGCCCATATTACATTCAGTCATTGGGAATGAAGAAAACTGGGAACAAATGAGGCATGATGTTATAGGAGAACTTGAGGCTCGCTGTGAGCTTTACAACCCATACTATAAAAAGTTTTATTGATAAATAGAAATTGCAATTGGACATTGCACTTGGAATGGATATCACGGTTGTACAAGTCGCAACTTGATGGATAATATGAATCATTTTGTCTTTGCCACATTGCATTCATGGACCATTATTGTCCATACTTAGGACCAACGAAGCACTAAGGATAACTGGATCTCGTGAATCTTGTCATGACATTTCACCGATGATTAGAAATAGCAAAAATAACCTTACTCGTGAATACCCGCCTGAATTCAACTAATTCCTATATAAAACGAATATGTTATAAACATTCACTTTTGTTTGCTAGAAATGAAAGTTCAGTTGCCCATTTGTTAGTAATCCAAAAGGAAAATGATTGTTCTTGTAATTGACCCAATGGAACCTCGACGGGGAAATATTCCCCAAAATCGCAACCCTGCCAATAGGGATGGCAATGGATCGGCTTGGGTTTTGCCAAACTCAAACCCAAATCCATGGGTTTATTTGTGAAAAAAACCCAGGGTAAAACCCATTGGGTTTGAAAAACTCAATCACAATCCAAACCGCTGGGTATCCGCGGGTTCATGGGTACCCACGGATTTTTGTCGTAAAAAATTTACAATAACAAGTTCCTATCAAAATTAAAGTCAAATATCAAACTCTCAATACAAATTATCTATATATATAAAACAACATTCTAGAAAATTTAAGCAAATCACAAATTAACTAATACAAATTGTTCAACACCAATCTAGAAAACTCAAGAAAATTGAAGCAAATCACAAGTTATCCATAAATAACATGATTAATTGAAAGGAAGAATCCTTTCAATTAAGTTTCTTCACTCTCCACTCGATAACATCAACTTCATTCTACACAATATTAGAAAGAAAAAATTAGACAAATATAAATAAGATTAGTTGTTTAGAATATTAAATATACTGAGAAAATTAATTATATGGGTGTGGGCGGGTGCCCATGGGGCGGGTTTACCTAAACTCAAACCCAACTCGGTGAATAGTGAACGAGTTTAAACCCAAACTGACCCAAAACCCGACAACACGAATTTTACCCGCGTTGACCGAATTAGGTCGGGTGGGTATTTGGGTTCGGGTTTTGTTGCCATCCGTAGCTGCCAAAACCCCGAAAAACCCTCTCGATAAACCGTTCGCCGTCGTCCTTCATCCCTTCCTTCTCCTCTCCAATTGCACAATGTATAGGCTCCATCGCAGCGCCCTCGCGAAAACCCTCCACTACCGCTTCTTCTCTCAGTCGGCCGCCGCCATCATCGAAGAGCCAGCAATCCAAGCACCAATCACCTACCTCGAAGGGTTCCCGAAGCCCGGCCCCGCCGAGCAGATTCTCGCCATCCCTCGAGCTTCTTCCGGGAAGAACATTTCCGCCAAGGAGAGGAAAGTCGGGAGGGTGCCCGCTATCGTCTTCGAGCAGGAAGACGGGCAGCATGGTGGTAATAAGCGGTTGATCTCGGTGCAGTCGAATCGCATCAGGAATCTGGTAGATAAGGTTGGGAGGTCGTTCTTCTTGTCGAGGCTTTTCGATCTCGAGGTCAGGACCGATTTTGCGAAGGAGGAGGAGATTATTGAGAAAGTCCGCGTCTTGCCGAGATTGGTATGTTAATGGGGGCATTTGGGTGAACGTTTGTTAAACTGAATTGATGTTTGAGAGGAAGTGAATCAATATTTTCCTGCTTTTGTTTGTTTGGCAGCTTCATTTGCACTCTGGAACTGATGTTCCCCTCAACGTTACCTTCATAAGGGCACCTCCTGAGGCTCTGTTGAAAGTTGATATTCCTCTGGTGTTTATAGGCGACGACGTCTCTCCTGGTCTGAGGAAAGGTTAGCCACTGATTCCTTTTGAAGATCATGATTGAAGGGCTTTATTTGATTTTTTGAATGGTTGCTTGAGTTTGCTGATGTTATCTTGACAGCTTTCAGTGGGATTGTGTTCTTTCTCGTGTTGGGAATTAGTATATGACTACTTGGTTAATTTGTAGAGGTGTTAGTGTTTTTCTACTTTAGCTTAAATGATGTTCTTTCAGCAACATCATAATTTCGCATTAGATTTGTTTTAAATCTCAACTTGCCCACTTTTGCCTTTGCATTTTTTTTAAGTGTGTTGAATGAATGGTCACCTGTTTGATTTTGAGATTGATTTGATATAGGAAGTTTTCAATTATACCAAGTCATCCATGAATGGAACCAGTTTTCTGCATTAGCTATTACTTTCACGGTCAATGAGTTTTAGAATAGTAAATTTTGTAGTTTAGTTTCTTCAATTTTATGTATAGTGTAGTTCGCTTGTGTATCTATTGAGACTTGAGAGAACTTATGTTATATGAGAGTGTTCGATTTGGAGTCAAGCTGTGGATGACTGTGATTGTTTGGATATTTTTTTAGACTGTGCTTTGTTTGCATCGTACTTTTGCTCTGAACCTTATCTATTGTTGCAAGCTCCTCTCATTTGTGAAGAAATCATCTACTCCATTCAATATATAATTGATTTCGAGCTTTGACCTTCACGGATCCTTATATAGCCGACTTAACAATGCCTGGCTTCTGATTTGAGAACTGATAAGTGTTCTGTTGCCACTTTGCTATTTGACATCCAAAGAGTTTATGGTAATTTTTTGAAAGTGAGGTTTTTGTTATGTCCAATTTGGATGATCTTGGTAGAACACAGAAGTCAGAGTATTGAGTGCCATTACATATATAAACAGTCGAAGTAGTTTTTAAAAAAAATTATCAGAGGGTTAAGAGGACTTTCAACCACAGATTTTCTTTCCCCCATTCGTTCCATGTATTGCTGTGCTCAGATTTTAGCTTGTATCAGTTTTCTATCGCTACATACTTCATGGTTAAATATACTTGGCATAACTAGAAGTTGGAATCAGCTCATTGCACTGCTTTGGTTGAATTTTTTTTTTCCGTGCGTGTTATTTCTTTGCTGATGTGCATTGTTTTCTGGAACACTCTGAAACAGGTTCATACCTGAATGTGATTAAGAGGACGGTGAAGTTCCTCTGCCCACCAGATATTATCCCACCATATATCGAAGTAGACCTGAGCGAATTGGATGTTGGCGAAAAATTACTGGTGGGTGATCTCAAAGTTCATCCAGCATTGAAGCCCATAATGCAGGAAGAACAGCCAGTTGTGAAGATTGCTGGAGCCCGTGTTTCGGACCAAAAGAGAGCAAAATAAAGCATCCCTACTAGATAGTTAGCAAACAGCTGTTGTGTTTGAATCTTGTGTACCACAGCTCTCCAACATGGAGCAGTGTTTTTAGCAACATTAGGTTTTTCAGTCGCATAACCCGGATTAGGTAGCGGGTGGGAGCAAAGTAAGATTGCAGGGGAGGGCTAAAGCCATGTTTTGTGTAGGATGAACTTACTCCTTCCATCATCTTTGATCCTATATTTATTATCAACCTTATTTTGTAAACAAGCTGTCTGAGACAAATTTCAGTAATGAAAATTGTTACCAAGTTATATCAGACCGTTGATCAAGATGGATCAAGTAGTTAAAGGTCGTCACCTCTGACGAGTCAAATTCAGATCGAATTAGCAGGCACGGTCTTCATCCAATCTAAAGAGATGACAGATGGAGTTTACAACTACAATTACAACCACAATGCTACATATGGAGCTTCGACACTTTTCCTGACAAAGATCAGATTAAAAGTTCAAACTCTAAGAAGGCTTACATGTAAGTGAAGGCAATTTACACTACATTTCAGTCAATTAGAAGCTGCATGGTGATATGGGTTAGGGAGCCGGCTAACCTAACAATAACACGACAGGTTAATCTACGGTCGTGCAGCAGATTGCTGATCAAACAAGACTGGCTGAGGGCTTACCCGAGTTTCATTGATTCAAAGGAGCCCTGATGGTGCCTGAGTCAGCCACAAGGGTCGAACCACCCTGGCGAGTCAGCTTGTGCTTCTTAATCATCTCGTGCAATGGAGCGAAAAACTCATGCTTCAAAGCGTCATCACAACTGATTCTGGACCTTGGGTTTACAGTTAAGCACTTGTCGACGAGGTCGATTAGAGAAGTAGGCACCTGATCAAGGAAGCCACGTCGTTTTGTATTGATCTTGCACCATTCCCGAAGTGGTAGAGACTGCAGGGATTGATTGTTGTACAGTTCCTGCAGGTAAAATAGCAATGAACCAATCGATAACTTCGAGAATTTTCCACAGTTTTGGACAAGTTTTCACTGGAGAGAATGAACTGAACTATTGCCCTCTCCTAATTTTGGCCCGACATTTCGCGTTAGAAGTTGTATAAAGATTTTGGTTTTACATACCGGTGGAAATGAGGATTCACGGTCATGTAACTTAGCAACTTCCCAGAGATCTTCACTGCCCCTCAACTTTGCTATCTCTTTTATGTTCCTGAAAAGCAGCAATTGATCAGCATAAGGTAAAGTGAAAGATTTAGATATATTCAATAAAGTCTCTGAAACCTACTGCTCAGGTTCACCACAGAAAGGTGTTCTTCCTATCATTAGATACAGTAAGGTTACCCCTGCTGACCAAGAATCAACCTTGGGACCTTGATACTGTGATCTCAACAACACCTGCATCAACACCATTTCGACATGAGGGTTCAAATTGTTCAATAAATCGCATTGTAATTAACTACATTCATTGTTAGATTAATCAACTTGGCTAGTTAGCTCTCACCTCTGGAGCACGGAAGCCTTTTGTTCCCATACAAGGCCCTTCTTTCTTCAACTTCCCATCTAATAATCAATAAAAAGAGCATATATATTATTAACTGAGGTAAAGGGAAAAAGCTTTTGGCAGCCCGAACTGCATGAGGATTACTCACCTTTGCTCTTGGTCAAGCCATGAAGTGTGGCAGTCATCCCATAAGGCTGCAAAGGCATTGGAGAGACATAAATAAGTCTTCCATCGACTTTAGAAGGAGGAGCTGCAACCCTCTTCCTCATAGAAGATGGAGTGCTGGATGCTTCGTGATTCGGGGAGTTCATTGTTTCCTGCAACAAACTCAGGAGCGCCTTCCTGCCATGGCTTGGTAAAGGCTCTCTTAGCCTTTCGGCTGAAGGAGCCATATTACTGGTCAAGTCTTTTAGGGAGGTTACTCCTGAGCCTTCTGCTCCTTGACTTTGTGTGAGATTCCATCCACGCGTGTCATTCTGAGCTTTCAAAGCGTTACCATCCTTCCTTTTCCAGTTCTTTGAGCCTTTAGCTTCTTCATGACTGACTACATCCAAAGACTTCGGATTCTGAGTCCTACCAGCTTTGACAGGTTGAAAAGGTCTGGACTTGTTTAGCATTGCGTCACTGAAGGTTTTGTCAGTCCCAGTTCTGAATTTGTCTGCAGGGTCCAAAGAGGAGCTTCATGAATTACAATTTTACGAGATGGTATTAATACTATGAATCTATGATTACACTATCTTGGTAAGCTTGTACTGTTAGATCAAAGTCACTTGATCTGAATTCAGAGTACACAACTATACATAGGCATGGTCCAGGTAGGTCGGAGTGAAAATAAAGGAAATTTTAGGATCATTAACGCATAATAGGATCACAATTGCATTCCATTTGATTTAGTTCAATCCCGTTTCGATTTAGTGCATTTTCTATTGTGTTTAACATGGCAAAACATGGCAAATATACTAGTGATAATATCATATCACGTGATTTCTGGGGGAACTTACTAGTCGCTCCATACTTCTGGTGCAGATCCTGCCAAGAAAAGGAAGAAACTATAAGTACCATTTTAAATGGAACACATCGTCGGACAGATAAAACATAACAAAGACTAGTATGACTAACCAAGGCAAGGTTGAAATCAATGAGATAACCCTTATTAGCTTTGCGAGAGAAAAGGAAGTTGCCAGGTTTGACATCTCTATGGACAATCCCCTGCAAAACAGTCACACCGTTTGTAAAAACGGGGGTCTTTGACAGCAGTAAAGAAGCAAAGATTAAATTCAGGAGTATTACGGAAGCTCTCTTGCCTGCTTATGAAGACTGGAAAGTGATCTGAAAAGGCAATAGGCGTACCACCTTATCTGAACTGTATCTATTTCCTTCTTCAATACCTCAGGTTTATCATGCTCAATGTGCTCCAGAACAAAACACAAAGAATTTTCGCTCTTGAAATGGCCTTCATATCTTATGATATAGTTTCTACCCCTGAATATATGCATGCAATAGGAAATTAAAGAGACAAGTAAATTGAAGGGCATGATCTTTTCTTATATGGAGCTTTTGTCAAAGCCTTACCCAAACCTCTCCAGCATCCTTTGCTCATTAGTAACATGCTGTTTATGTGCATTTACATGAGGGACTGCATATATAGATGATTAGAACCGAAGACAAAACCAGGAAGGGGCATTAGAAAAAGAGCATAATCTATATGCACTTACATTTAATGGCCACCGTCCCTCCATCGTCTTTCCTTCTTGCCCTATATACAGTGCCATAGCCACCTGGAAGTTTGGATTTCCAAATTAGCAATCCAATACAAAAGATTGTGGCTAGAAAGAGAAATTGAGGCCAGGAAGAAAAAATTTAATACCTGAACCTTCCTCCGCATCAACAATGTAGGATTCAAAGGTAGGTAGGCCTTTCGGTTCGACTTGATTCTAAAAACAAAGAAGAATTCTAGTAAACTAATAGCACAACTTTGTAGGATCACCTCCAAGATAATACGCCAGTGTAATGACTAAACCTACAACTACACGTATTTATGCGGCTTTCTGTATTAGAGCTTACATTGGAAGTGACAGCAGCAGCATCCTTCCTTCCTTCTTTTGCTTGCACATCATGTTTCCGCTTTGAACTTTGGGGCATGGAATCTCTTATGTGGTGGTCATTTCCCTGCTGCCTTTTGACAGGGCTCTCGGGTTTGTTTCTATCAATGGACTTGCAGAGAGCTTGATGTCTTGGAGACATTCCATTTCCCTTTGCAAACCTTGTCTTGGCAGAGGACTTCTGGAAGTGTTTATCGGTAACAGATATGTCAAGTGTCTTCAAGCAATTCTCTTTATTTGCATCAGTAGTAACTAGCTTTTTTTCCGAAGATTCCTGCACCTTCTTTTCTTCACAGCCATCTTCAATTGACATGCCATGAATGGCAGGTTTTAGTGTTGCATTGCTTGGTCCAACTTCTGTTTGAATGCCACCAACAATGGTAGCTAGTTCTTTGTTTGAAGATGGCTCCATCTTTTCTTCACAGCCATTTTCAGTTGGCATACCACAAAGGTCTGCTTCATGATTATCAACTATCTCAGCAGAATCAACTGTTTTATGCTCCTTCCTTTCCGCTATTGCAGTTGGAATAGGATCATCTTCTATCTGCTTGACATCCTTAGGTCTAGAATCTAAACTGCTGTCAACCGTTTTGAGCAAGCGTTCTGGAATGAGAACCCTATCATTTAGCATGGTGTCCACAAGCCCATCAGAACTGACCGGTTTGTGCTCCACTTCCAATATTGCATCCGAAACACACTCATCTTCTATCTGCTTCACATCATCCGGTCTAAAATCTAATTTACTGAGAACAATTTCCGGAGACCATTCCGGAATCAAAGCCATATTGCTCAGCATGACTTCCATAAGATCATCACTTTTCACTTCTTGAACACCAAGCTCCTCGGAAACATCAGCATTCGAGACTGTTTTCTGCTCATCTCCCTCTAATATTGCAGTTGAATCATACTCATCTTCTATCTGTTTACAATCAAATCTACTTACTACGGTTTCTGGGAAGCATTCTGGAAGAAGGGCCAAATTATTTAACCTAATTTCCATTAGTTTCGACAAAGATCCTGCATCCCAAAGGCCTCCCTCAACAATAGAGAAAGGAACCTGAAATTTTGAAGAATTCAACTAGCTCTAAGAAAGTGGACTAAACTCATTTTCATACTACTAATGGACATGTCTTAGCTCTGAATGCAGTTAAAAAATAGAGCGGGAATACCTCTAATGCAGCAGTACGAGTTCTTTTGAGAGGACGAGAAACATTTGGATCTTCATTCTCCACTGCAAGCGGTCAATGAAGGACGAAAATTAGGGCAGGACATAAAAGGAAAAGACGCAGAATAAATCGAAATTTATCAAGAAATGAAATGGCGGAACTGGCGAAGAAATTTCACCTTCTTCTTGACGGACGAATCCGATTCGTTTCCTTTTATTAAAGTACATCCTCACTGAACCTTGAAGCGGCGGCGCTCCTCCGGCTAAATTGAGGCCCAATCCCTGGCCAATCCATATCAGAAACCGGTGAATCGACTCGGAATTGGACACTAACTTTCTAATCGTCTCCCAACCGAGCATAGAAGCAGTAACGCAGGCGCCATTTCTGCCGCTGCAGGTTAACGCGATTGGGGAGCTCAGGAGCGAGCAAAGACTGCGGACGAGATCGGGCGTCGCTCTGAACGGAACGCAGCGGGAGACTAGCTCGAGAATCGTCGCCGGCCGGCCGATGGATATGACGAGATATAGAAGATACCATGCCTTCTGAGAATCAGAGCCCGCGGCGGCGGTGCTGGTGACGACGGAGAGCGAGTCGCGTACGGCGAGTTGGTGTCCGGCGGCGGGTGAGTGAGTTCGCATAGCGAGTTTGGCGGAGAGAAATGGCACCTTAACGGCGGCGGAGCAGGAGATCCACTGGTTTCTCTCCAAGTTTGCAGATGGAGATCGAGGGGGAGAGAGGAGCGGGATAGCGATTTGGGAAGGGCGCGGGTTTTAGGAGATTTTGCCTGTTTCTTTTTTGAGACTTGGAGCGTGCTAGTTTCCCGCCAATACCTGATCATTTTCTGAATAGAGGTACTAATTAACGCCCTAGGTTTTTTAAAATTTGTCGCCCTAACTCGATAATTGGGCGATTTTGCCCCACAAACTTTCCAATCCCTAACAATCTTCGCCGTCGCCAGAGGGCTGCTGTCACCGCCACCCCCTCGACCTAGGGATTCCTCGCGGCTGGGAGTGATGCTCGGTCCAATCCCGATTTGACTGGAAAGGAAAAATGCTCAATGAAGCTCCAGTGAGATCCTCCAATGGTGCCACCAACACCACCACCATTAATGGCGCCCACTCGATCGTCCCCCGTCCTCATTCCTCCCCCAAAATGGTCGCCGACGGAACCCTCTCCGTCGATATGCACCACCACCACCTCCCTAACTCCCATTCTCCATTATCATCACCATCATCAACAATCTCCTCCCTCTGCAGAATCATCACTCGATCCCTCGCGATTTGCTCGAGAAACATACACTTCTTCATCTTAATCATATCCTCGCCTTCCCGCTCTCCTTCCGGTTATCTTCCCTCTCAATCTCGTCCCTGCCACGGACTTCCAGGACGAACGGAGAACGGCGACGACGAGGGAGTTGGGCGCCGGTTATCCAGGGCGAACGGCGGATTTCGACGAACGGCGGCGACGTTGGAGTTGGGCGACGGTCATCCAGCTCTAACGACGGGTTTGGGGCGCCTGAGTTGGAGATTAGGGCATACGTTTTGTGAAGTTGGGGGCGACCGTTTGAGAAATTGGGGGTATTTTTGTCTGTTTGGTTATTTAGGGCGGAAATTTTAAAAAGTTAGGGCGTTAAATAAGAATCCAGTTTCTGAATCGCTATTTGTCGCCCTAAAATTTAAATTTTATCGCCCTAAACTACACTGAAATGACACATATGCCCCTACCCAAAATCAAACTTAAAACCCTAAACCCTTCCCTCGGCAACCACATTCTGCCGCCTCCCATTCTTGGCTACTGCATGTTTCAGTGCGTTGATGTAGATCGATTAACTCAATTAATTAGCTAGCTAGAAGGACGGCTCTTTACTTAATTAATTAATCAATCAATCATTTAGCAGCTAGCTTAGCTGCCTGCCTTCAATTCAAATATTGGGGTCTGCTGCAGCCCCCATGACAGGCCTTGCAACGTTGTTCTTGCTAATGACTTCCAGAATCCCTTCCTCTATCACGTACAGTTTCTCTGCCCGCACCTGCATGCTCACAAAACCACATCACTCAGACCTGACCTGCTGCTATGTTGTGTTGCTGTGGCTGTCGCTGTCGTGCAAGAGGAAAGAGGGGAGGCAAATCCCGGGCGTTGCTCTGTTTCTGCGAAGAAGAAGGGAAGGCATCTCCGGAACGTTTGGGACGAGCTGAAAAAATAAGAAATAAGGGCATTCGTGTAAATTCAATAAGATTTAGGGCGACGAATAAACTTTTTTAGGGCGACGAATAGCAATCCCCATCATTTTTCACTTGTGGCGAAAATGCCTATTTCAGTCCTAAAACTCCATGTTTTAGCTCTGGAAGTTCTTGAAGTTTACGTAAGAGTCAGATGAGTCCTTAATCTTGCAAATGATCTAAACAATTATGATAATTCTGCACTATTGTGTTTCTCCAATGAATATGTGAAGCAATAATGGTAAGAGTTACTATGCTAAGTATTGGTAAAACTCATCTTGCAAATGATAACAATGATCAGCCATCAATGAAAAACTTGCCTCGGGATGGAGAAAATGCTCTCGACTGCAAGCGCTGGAACCTCCGCTCCGGCACCGTCTCTGCTTCCCTCAGACCGGCCGCCTGACTCTTTGAATCCCTCGGCGATGGCCGTTTCTAATTCTTTAAGCTTGAATGTGGCGCAGGCCACAGTTTCCTCTGAAATGGTAATTGATTCCTCTTCTTTGTCTGTGCAACAGGTTATGACACAAGATCCAGCGGCCAGAGGGGCCCTTGGACAAGTGAATGGGACGGCGAATGGCCAACCCTTCTCGTACGCTAAGGCGGTCATAGGATTGCCACAAAAAGCGACGACCCTGAATCAGTCTTTTCAATGGACTCCGGTAGGAGAACATGATCTGGTGCCCGGCGAACGAAATGGAGAACCGGCTCTGGCTGTTTCGGCGGAGTTCAAAGGAAAGCTCTGTGCACCATGGCAGAGAACAATTGTGGTTCGACTACTAGGGTTGAGGCTCGGTTTCATCACCCTCTGTAATCGTCTAAAAAGCTTATGGCGACCGATTGGTGCAATGGAGGTTAAGGATCTGGACCACGACTGTTTTCTAGTCAAATTGGACAACGAACAAGATTACTTTCGTGCTTTAACCGATGGACCATGGGTTATTCATGACCACTACTTGGTCGTTCAGCAATGGACGCCCAAGTACAAGGCCTCCGACCCTCTGCCAAAAACTATGATTGTTTGGGTTCAGCTCCCTGCTCTGAAAATCCACTTCTATCACAAGGAGGTAATTACTATGCTGGGGAACCTCATTGGCCGAACAATTAAGCTGGATTATCATACGTTAACCCAGCAACGAGCTAAGTTCGCTCGGGTAGCGGTCGAAGTTGATATCTCCAAAGCTCTGGTTCCCCGAATTTGGCTGGACGACGAGTGGCAAACGGTTGAATACGAGAACCTTCCTGAGGTTTGTTTCGACTGTGGGAGGATCGGACACAATAAGGGAACATGCCCTCAGAACAAAACTCAAGAAACACCATCTCAAGGTAACGTCGCCGGAGGTTCGCCGCCGGGCAGTCAGACACAAACAACAGAAGAGTCCAATCCGGGCTTTGGACCGTGGATGCTGGTATCAAGGAAATCACGGCGGAAATCGGGGGATGGGCACAGGAAAGGAAAGGAGGAACATGATACAGGGAATCAAATAATAATTGCCAAGAATAGGAACCACGAAGCCGTCGGCAAGGAGGTAACTCAGCCGCCATCTCCGTCAACAACCCCAAACGGCCCTCAACCCCAACGGGAATCAACACAAGAAAGGAAAGTGGTTTTTGGGAATAAAAGTGGAGCGGACATGCATAAAGGGAAAGGGAAAGCGAGCAAGGAGAGTACAGGGAAAGGGAAGGGCCTCCTTGGGCCTGGGCGCAAAGCAGGGGATACAGTCAAAGGGCAAATGCCAATGCCTTTGAGTGGGGCCTCATCTTCAAGCAGTCGGCCGGATCCTGCCTCCTGTCAGCCACTTGGCCAAAAAAATTCGGACTTGACGGTTGGGCCTGCTCCTCTTAGCGTGGTCAACGACATGCCCGAGCCCCCTTCTTTCAAGACTATTATGGGCCCTAATGGAACTTTGATGCAGATAATTGAGAGCCCACATTCAGCAAGAGACATCGGTGACACAATCCCATCTCTGACTGCAAGAACGAAACGCAGCAAGGGGAAGAAAGTGCAAGGAAAGAAATCGCCGTCCAAATTGAATCCGATGAAGCCGCTCCAAATTTGGTCTCCGATCAAGGATAGGAAACCCAAATCCAAGTCGCGCATGGCGTCGCTGACCTTGCAGGAGATTAGCGCTTGGACGGAGGCGGCGAAAAGACCGGCGAACGACGGTGGGGAGAAGGAGAAGACTGGGTCGGAGGGACATATACAGGTTGAGGTTGAGAGCGATGAAGCTCGCACTTAATCAAGTCGGTCCTCCTCCTTGTTTTTCTTGGTGGCTTCGTGCTGCTTTTGCTCGGTATCCCTCTATGTCTATGTCGATGGTTCATAAGTTAAAAGTTCTGTCGTGGAATGTCGGTGGCGCAGGGAGCAGATCGTTTTGTCGAGCTCTGAAGTTGGCTATTCAGAATCACCGCCCAGACTTTGTGGTGCTCCTGGAGCCTCAGCTGAGTGGCAATTCTGCCAATGCAATTTGTGACAAACTAGGATTCCCGAATTCGTTCCGGGTGGAAGCGGAGGGACGAAAGGGCGGAGTGTGGGTTTTCTGGGACGGGGGAGTGTTCTCGGTGCATCTCTTCTCGGCCTGCTCGCAACACCTTTCTCTCAAAATCACCAGAGCCAGCGAACCTCCCTGGATGCTGTCTGCTGTCTATGCATCCCCCCGGCAAAGTGAGCAGAGATATCTCTGGGAGAGGCTGATTACCCAAAGCAGGCACATTGACATTCCTTGGCTGCTCACAGGGGACTTCAATGCCATTAGTAAACCGGAGGAAAAGACGGGCTTTCCTACCAGGAACACTCTTAAGAGATGTCAATTTTTCACTGAGAAGATGAACCTTGCAGAGCTAGTGGATCTCGGGTTCTCGGGACCAAAGTTCACCTGGTCTAGAGGGGATCAAAGTCATACTTACAAGGCCAGCAGACTGGATAGGAGCTTGTGCAATCTTCACTGGAATTTGGCCTTCCCCAACTGCTCGGTTTTCCATCTTCCTCGCATTCAGTCCGATCATAGCCCCATCCTCACCAGTGTGGAGCCTCAAGCGGTTCAGACCCAGAATGCGAGGCCTTTCAGGTTCGAAGCGACGTGGTTGACAAATGGCAATCTCTCCAACGTGGTTAAGGAGACCTGGGATGCTGATAGTCCGCTGCATAATGCTTTGCAAACAATGGCTAATAAGCTTGCTGAGTGGAATATTATGGTGTTTGGTGACATTAATCAGAAGAAGCGCAGGCTGCTAGCTAGAATCAAGGGAGTGGAAACTAGACTTTCGGGTGGCTTCTCCCCCGGACTGGCCAAGCTTCACTCAAAGTTGGCTGGAGAGCTGGATAAAGTGCTTGAGCAGGAGGAACTCCTCTGATATCAGAGATCCAGAGATAATTGGGTAAAATATGGGGAAAGAAACACTGCCTACTTTCATCAGCAGGTCAACATCAGACGGCGGTATAACAAGATCAAGGCGCTTCTGGATGATAATGATAATTGGGTGACTGATCCTCTTTCTCTTGCTCGACTTGTGTTTGAGTTTTTTACTAATATCTATCTGCAGGATAATTCCCCTTATGAAGATAGGCTTCCCAAAGACCGCTTTCCAAGGTTGGATCAAGGGGAAGCTGCAGCGCTCTTCAAACCCTTTAGTATCCTGGATATTCACAAAGCGATTTTTGACATGAAGCCTTTCCAAGCACCGGGTCCTGACGGGTTCCATGCGGCGTTTTATCAGCAGTTCTGGCAAGTGGTAGGGAAGTCTCTCTCCGATATGGCTATATCCTTTTTCATGACAGGTACTCTACCGGAGGAGGTGACGGAGTCGACGCTAGTCCTCATCCCCAAAGTGGACGCGCCAGAGACAGTTACTCAGCTCAGGCCTATCTCTCTCAATAATGTCTGCCTCAAGAGCATCACCAAGGCCATGACCTCAAGGTTAAAATCCATCATGAGAAAGTTGATCTCGCCTCGACAGAGTAGTTTTATTCCTGGGAGACAAACAACGGACAACATTATTGTTGTTCAAGAAGTCTTGCATTCCTTCAGAAAGAGACGAGGAAAGAAAGGAGGAATGGTCTTCAAGATCGATCTCGAGAAAGCTTATGATATGCTCCGGTGGGACTTCCTGCGAGACACTCTGAAGGAAGTCGGACTGCCAAGTAGATGGATTAACTGTATCATGTACTGCGTGGAGCACAACACCATGAGGATCAGATGGAATGGGGAGCTGTCTCAGCCGATTACGCCGTCCCGCGGTGTTCGTCAGGGAGATCCTCTTTCCCCCTACCTTTTTGTTTTGTGCATGGAAAGATTATCTCATAGAATTGATGAGGCGGTTGATAACGGACAATGGAAAGCTGTGAGGCTAACCAGTTCCGGGCCGCCTCTAACTCACCTCTTTTTTGCGGATGATCTGTTACTTTTTGCAGAAGCAGAAACGAGACAAATTAGGGTGGTTAAGCAATGCCTGGAGGACTTTTGTCACAGTTCGGGGCAACGAGTCAACTTCAGCAAGTCCATCCTCTACGTCTCCTCGAATATAGCACGGTGGAAAGCTGAGTACCTAAGTGAATGTGCGGGTATTCCCTTGAAGGCAGCTCTAGGGAGATATCTCGGGATTCAAGCAATTCAAGAAAGGGTCACTAAAGGGAGATATCAATCCCTCATCCTTCGGATTCAAAAGAAGATGGCCCCGTGGAAGGCGAAGCGGCTGTCCTTTGCTGCTCGGCTTACTGTAGCCCAGTCGGTGACGTCCTCTATTCCTGTTTATACTATGCAAACAGAATTGATTCCTAACGGTGTTTGTAGGAGTATCGACAAGATCAGTAGGGACTTCATCTGGGGAGATGATGAGAACCAGTCCAAGCTTCATCTGGTTGCTTGGGAAAGGCTAACGATTCCGAAAGCGCAAGGAGGGGTGGGGCTTCGTTCTGCACGGCAGGCAAATCTGGCTATGCTTGCCAAATGTGGGTGGCGCCTTCTTCATGATAAAGAGAATATTTGGCAGCAACTTCTCCTGTCAAAGTATGGAGGGCAAAGGTCCGGGTTGGATATCCTGCGGAAAAGACAGGGAAGTTCCTTTACCTGGAATAGCTTTGTCAAAAATGCTGATCTCCTTAAACAAGGATGTGCGTGGAATATTAGTAATGGGAAGAGAACTAATTTTTGGAATGATATATGGGTTTTACAGGTGCCTCTCAAGGAGATGGCGACAAGGGAACTTCCGGAGGGAGTGGAGGACGCTATGGTGGCTGATTACGTTCGTGACGATGGCAGTTGGCGCGTGGAACTGTTTTCGGAGTTCCTTCCCCCGGATGTCTGCAGCAAAATCACAAGTATAGCTGTCGACAACCTTTCCCAGAAAGAAGACTCTCTCTTTTGGGCCCCGGCGGCTGATGGTAGGTTCTCAACGAAATCCGCATATATCCTCCTTACTAAGCAGGATCAGCAGGTTAATGACGAGATCTGGAGGGTGATCTGGCGCCTTCCAGTCCCGGAGCGGGTTTGTGGATTCTGCTGGTTGGCCATCCAGGGATCGATAGCGACGAATGCCCTTCGTTTTCAGCGGAGGGTGGCACCCTCGCCTTGCTGCCCGCGTTGCCCGGGTCGCCCGGAGACGGTGCTCCATATCCTTCGGGACTGCACGCCGACGATTTATTTGTGGTCAAGGGTGGTCTTGCAGCAAAACCAGCAGACCTTCTTCAACGACAACCATGATAACTGGTTCCGCAAGAACATCCTCAGCAAAGAGTCCACCAGTTCGGGTATTAGCTGGCCAGGCTTCTTCAGTATGGCAATTTGGCTGCTTTGGAAGAATCGAACAGTTGCTTCTTTTAAAGGTGCGAATGCTGCACTCTCTCCTCCATCCCTTATGCACTCTATTCTTACCAAGAGCAAGTTATGGAACGATTCCTGGCATGCTCCGGAGCTGTTCCTCAGCCAGAAGAAGCAACGACCAGACCGGGTATCTGCAGACATCGGGTGGAAGCCGCCGTTAGAAGGGTGGGTTTTGGTTAACACCGATGGAGCTTCCTGTGGTAACCCGGGTATGGCAGGTGCTGGGGGAATTATCAGAGATTCACAGGGAAAGTGGCTGGGCGGTTTCATCGCCAATATTGGTACTGCTTCTGCTGCCTTGGCGGAGCTTTGGGCTATTCTGTACGGTTTGGAGTTGAGTTGGAAACTTGGCTACCGGGCGGTGAAGCTGGAGTCCGATTCACAGCTGGCAATTCAGTTAATTCAGAAGAGGCACGATCACTTACACCCGTATGCTACCCTCTTGAGTCTTATCCGAAGAAAGATTGGTCAGGATTGGTTGGTTAGCCTGTCTCATACATACCGGGAAGGGAATAGAGTCGCGGACTGGCTCTCGAAGCACAGTCTCGTCTATCCCTACGGTATGCATGAACTAGCTGACCCGCCATCAGGTGTTATCACTCTCTTGCAAGAAGATGTCAGAGGTGTTACTTTTGAACGCCGCATTGTGGCTAGCTCTTCCTCCTAATCTCGGTCTCCCCCTGTAATTTTTTTTCTTGTTCTCGGCTTATGCCTCCTTGATATGCAAAAAAAAAAAAAAATGATAACAATGATGATAATTCTGCACTAATGTGTTTCTCCAATGAATATGGGAAGCAATAATTGTAAGAGTTACTATGCTAAATATTGGTAATGTTTTACCGACAATAAAAAAGATCATATACTTTTTTTTAGGTCTTTACGATTATCGATATACAAATAAAAATACAAAAAATGGAATCGAAAACGAAGTAGAAGGGTTTGTCCATCATCTTTCTTCTTTCAAACATATAAAACAAAATCGAATGCAGGGGCTAACAAATTGAATGTAAGGTTATGGGAAACTGAAAGAAAATACTTATAATTTTGGCGGTGGCGTCAAAATCTCTGTCAAAACTTCTGTATTTTCTATGGCTGATGGAGAAGAAAACCAATGTTTGATCAATACGCCAAGGATGATGCCGATAAGCCCCGCGACCAATGCAAATGTGATAGAGAATCCTGGGCCTTTTTCTCGATATTTTCGACGCTTCAATAAATCCTAAAACAAACAATTGAACAATTTTTCTTAAGAATAAACATTGAGTATCACATAAGTGCTATTGAATCTCTTATTAAAAAGGTGATATTAAAATGAACGATCCTTCTACTCAACACATACAAATATCTCAAAAAGTACTATGTGACCTAGATGTGCATTTCTCAATCTCATTATGCAAGTTGCAAATGACAAATGGGAACTCACTAGTTCTTGTTGCAGCTGTTGTGTCTTACTTACAACAACATCCTTTTCGTCTTTTAGTCTTTGCAAAGCCTGATGAAACACATATAATGAAAATCAATTATGAAATGCAAAGATAACAACAAAAAGAGACACTAACATATGAGGGGCGAAAAAAATGAAGGGATGTCTTGTTTAGATAACTTGTATATATTTAAACCGGGTTAAATACATTAAATTTACTTTAGACCATTTTACTTTAGATCATTGAATAAAAACAAAAACACAAAACAAAAAATAGTGCTACCGGAGCTGCCCGTGCAATTTGTCAATTTTCCATCAATTGGGCTGGGGCGCTGGGCCAATGATAACGAAAGGGTTTTTGTGTTTTTTGTGGAAATAACTTTACCAAAATGAATACATAATATTTTGAACAATAAATTTGTGAAAGATTTGGTGCCATTTCATTTATTTTCAAATATTTACTAAAAATAAACAAATATCATTATTGATACTTGTCATTTATATTCAATTTTTTTTAAAATTTACATAACATTTCATAACTGTTATGTAAAATATACACCCATTACGTAAAGGTTAAAGGTTACGGAATGATAGTTATTTCTTACATAAAGCGTTATGTAGGGCTTCTGTAATGACTTAGCACTTTACGTAACTCAAGGTTAATACTCAATACGTAAAAGGACCGACCATTATGTAAAGCATTTGTAATAGCATTTTACAACTGCTACCTAAAATACACATCCGTTACGTAAAGGTTACGGAGCGATAGTTATTTCTTACGTAACAGTTAAATCGGAAGCATTACATAAGGCTTTCGTAACGACTTAGCACTTTACATAACGCGAGGTTAATACTCATTACGTAAAAGGACCTTCCATTACGTAAAGCTTTCATAATGACATTTTGCAACTGTTACGTAAAATACACTTCCATTACATAAAGGTTACATAAAGATAGTTATTTCTTACGTAACATTTAAAATCTGAAACGTTACGTAAGACTTTCGTAATGACTTATCACTTCACGTTACACGAGGTTAATACTCATTATGTAAAAGGACATTCCATTACGTAAAGGTTGATAGTTATTTCTTGCATAACAGTTAAATCAACAACATTACGTAAGACTTCCGTAATGACTATATATCTTACGTAATGCAATGTTAGTATTCATTACGTAAATTAACATCCCATTACGATGACTTTCGCAATAACTTTTTACAATTGTTACGTAAGATTACCATGCGTTACGTAACTATTACGTAATGCCTATTGTGATTTACGTAATGGGACCTGTGAAACCTGCTATAACATGTTAAAAATTCAAATTATCTTACTTCAAGTTACCGTAGTAAATCCTTATTTTCAGTTTCACGAATTATCTTAAACTAGAGGAAATAAGTGAACTGAAATGCAATGTCCTCCGAACTAAATCAGACCCAAATGCATAGTTAGTCGATTTTGACCCTCGTTTTCCCTTTATTTTGGGGCCTGATCGATTTTTGACACTCCTCGATTCTGACCAGAGGAGACCATGCCTATCCCCGACTAACATCAAAAAGGTGATCAAGAAATGAACTCACTACATTGCCATCGAAGCTCTGCCTACAGCTTGTGAGACCATCTTCTTCTCCATTCCCTTGAGCTGACGAGGGAGGAATGTATAGAACTCTTAGCTTGCACTCCTCCACCTTCCCATTGCTTTCTTTGGTGAACTGGCAATGGCAAATATATTATAACTAAAACAAATGTGCACAAAGAAAAAACAATAATATATTTATCCTAGCCCCTAATGTTTCATATTAAAATTAGAGTCTAGTCTTACTATATCTGCAGGTAGGTCATCTACATCAGTATGCTGAGGCACTGTTGTGCTTTGCAACAAGAATTTATCTTTGCATTGCATATCTGGAGGGCATTCTTTCTGTGCTTGCAAAGTAACTGCAATGAACCATATAAGAACAATGAAGTATGGTATGGTTCATTGTAGGTCGAGTTAGCGAGTCGCAGTGGGCCAAGTTACTAAAGGTACTGATCGGATTTAACGAGATGAGTTTGAGTTGTATTTGTGGTTTGGGTTAAATTTTTGTAAATGTATCCAACGGTAAACGATTGACCATTGAAATATGAGTAATAGTAAGCATACACAAACTGAACAAGAGATGGAATTTGCACCTCTGATAATACAAGAGTCCCAAGGCTGTATAACTCCAGAATTTGGCCTTACAAAGTACTTCTTAGGTGATGTAGTTTTTACCTATTGGGAAGAAGAGGGACATAGTTTTAGATCAAGTACAGAGCCATTCAACCATAACAGAAAACCAATAACATGAATTCTTGTTAGTTTTTTTTTTCTTTTCTATGGATAAAATTTACCTTAAAAGCAACATGATTCTCTGTGTTGTTCACGACTTTAAGATCACAAAAGCTCTGCTTTTCCAACTCAACTGATTTCACCACCAACATGAATTATAAGGTTAGTGAATTATAACAAGCAACATTATATAATCAAATAGATTCCACAATTAAGAATTTGATTGAACGGTGCAAAACTTTGTCTAAATGTCGCTTAAGATTCCACAATTGAATCAAATAGATTCCAACAATATATCGATGTGCTCAACTTTCTCATAATCATCGTCGCATCCTCAATTCAGAATAAATTTTTGGAATGTGATCATGATTCATGCTTTATTGAATATATCAAATTGTCAAAAGGTTGGATCTTTTTTTAAGTTCAAATTAGGCTTAGTTCAAAAGAAGAATATTTAGTTATCATTATAACAATGTTAGTAAAAACAGAGAAATGTTTCCTGAGAAAGGAATTGCCCACCCAATAAATCATAAAATCGAATCCAAGTTCGAGTACTTACATATAAACCTGAGCTCATCGGGATGAACAGATATCAATTGGTTGCCGCCACCACTTGTTGACATGATAACGTCGACAATCCAACCAAAACCAAACCAAAATGAAAAACTAGAAGAAGAGAAGGATGTGAAAATGCAATAATGAATTGAGACGAAAGTATGGGAAAGAATGCCGATTAGGGTAAGAAGAAGAAAAAGGTGGAGAGAAATCTAAGGAGGTAGCGTGTGGTTGAACGAAGGAGGAGGGGAGGGTTTGTGAAAAAACACAAAAAAATGAACGATTCGAAATTGCATGTGGGAATTTTGACGGTGAGGCTCCAAGTTGGTTCCATTGATTTCGGTAATCCGATCGACTTATTGGAGAGGAGCACAAATGGACTAAGCCATTTGCATGCTTATTTTAGGGAGAGGACATAAATGCATGTATCAAATTCATGGGTGGATCTATCCAATAAAATATGGGTTATTGTTTAAGACGTGTTTGAATTGTTACGCTATTGCAAAATTCTTTTAAGAAGATATATGGCATTTTAGATGTTGATATTGAAGGAAAAGTTTATTTGGATTGTTGGGGTACATTTCCTAGCAAGTTACTTAGAGGAGAAGCTCCTAGAGAATCTACAAGGATGGAAACATCACTGATCATGGGCGGCAAAGGAAACTGTTGTTAAATATGTTATCGCGACATTGTTGGTGCATGTCATGTCTTGTTTTCAGTTATCGGCTACCTTGTGTCGTGAACTGGACAAGTACATGGCACGATTTTGGTGGGATATGAGGTGACCGATGGGCTTCTTGTAGCTCATTGAGAAGGAGTAAGGAGAATAGGGGACTAAGCTTCTGCCGGTTTGAGCAGTTTAATCAGACTATGTTAGCAAATTTTGGATGGCCTATTATGCAGAGCCCGAATCTCTTCTAGCATGTATTTACAGAGGAAAATGTTTACTAACGGCTCAACCTGGATGCCCAAAGGGGGTCCTGACCCTCATGGGATCGACATAGTGTGATGCATGGTAGGTTTTTGCTTCTTGCTGGGCTATGTTGGGCTATGCTGGCTAGTTGATTGGGTTCCCCAGCTTCATCCTAATCTGCCAATACCACTTGCTTATGTGTCATTGATGGGTGATAAAGGAGTTCCCTTTCAAATTGATCGGGATGCAGGGGCATGGTGTGAAGAGTGTCTATCGGCTAGTTTTCTAGATATTATTACTAAGGTAATTTTGGCAATTTCTATACCTTGTGCGCTGATGGATGACAAAACGATTTGACATGAAGATTCATCGAGAATCTATTATGTCAAATCGAGGTATCACCTTGCAATGGGACGATATCAGAGTTGGGCTCGATGTAAATAAGAGGTTTCTATTTAGGATTATCGATTTTGGAGGCAGGTGTGGGTCTTCCATATCCAATCAAAGATGAGGTTTTTTGAGTGGCAGGTCCTATACCACATTTTACCTCTCATGGAGGTCACTTCAAGGTGTTCAGTGAACGACTTGGTGTCCTGTGTGTTGGTTGAATCAGAAACGTTTGAGCATCTCTTCTTAGAGTGCCCGGTGGCGATATCATTATGGGAGGCTTGAGGCTTGAGGTCAAGTATGCGGGGTTTAGAGTTTAGGAATTTGGGTATGTTTTCCATTAATTAATTGAACGTGACTCCTCTCATGAGCATGTGGTGCGAGTTGTAACCCTATTAAAAATTATTTGGAAGTCAAGAAATTGGATGGTTAATGAGGATAAGCATATAATAATTTCATGTCTAGTTTGGTAGTATCGTGTCTAAGTTGAATAATGGGTGGCCTTGTGACCATTGGTAGTAGCTGCTGGTGGTAGGGAGCACACTTAGGTCAACAGGGTGGAGCAGGATCAGGATCGATTGTTTGTCTATGCAGCTGATGATGCAATTTCTATCGGATCTCATGCGGTGGCGGAAATAGTGCCGATGGACATGTCAGGGAATCTAATGATGGTGGTTATGTGTCAGTACCGTAGGATCCAAGCGGTGGCGGGAATAGTGCCAATGGACATGTCGGGGAGTCTAATGATGGTGGTTATGTGTCAGTACCCTGGGATCCAGGAGCCTTTCATGCCTGAACTATTTGCGGTAGAAGATGCGTGTCGCTGATGTGGGGTGCTTGGTTTGCAGAAGGTGGTGGTGCAACGAGACGCTAAAACTATCATTGATAAGGTTCGTGGATTGAGCTGGAGGGAGGGCAATTCTATAGGAACTAGTACAACTAGTGGATGCTATTATGTGTTTTTAGTTTCAGTTTTTAGGTAGGGATAACAATAGGGTACTCAATTGGTGGCTAAGAAAGCCCTTTCTTTGTTCCATAGTATTGTGGGCGGGTTTGATTTTCGTAATTGGTTATTGTCAATTATATGAGTGTTTGTATGTGGTTGACCTGGGTGATTCCAATGATCTCATGACAAATTTTTTTTTAAAGATTTATAAATGACATTTATCAAATACAAAGTTAAAATCTTCATGGTGTTTATGCACACTTGAAATGATGATGTATTGTAGGATGTGTCATGAAATCTTATTGGTTTCCATTTTTCTTTTATAATTACTAATCTCCAATTTCAATCATTTTTTTAAGATGGCATTCCTTCTTTCGATGCTCAAACTCCAATTGACCGACCTATCCAAGCAAATCAATGGTACATATATTGAATAATTGAGTCTAAATAGTTGAAGGTAAAACTTTACAATTCATTTGGGATGGAAATAGGATTTTAGAGAAAACACTTCATAAATGAATGAGAAATAGAGTATAATGAATAATTGAGTCTAAATAGTTGAAGATAAAGCTTTAAAATTTATTTGGGATGAAAATATGATTTTAAAAAAATCAAAAGAAGATAAATACATGTAGATATTGATAAAAATTATGATAAAACGAGTCGAGAACGGGGCGGGGGGGGAGGGGGGGGGGGGACAGGTCTGAAACAATACCTAGACTGCATCCCACGCTACTACGGGTCAGTCGGGCCAAGTCTAGTCGTACATGTTAGGTCATAAATTGTCATCACTATCCATAACTTGTGTCTCAAAAGAGCACTATCTAATCTAACAAGTACCAGACCCACCATCATGATTAGGGGTGTGCAACGGTCCGTTCTGGTCCGAAATGAAGCAAACTCATGAGAACTATAGTCCAATAGTGAAAGACATTTAGAACCAAGGACATGACCATCATTGCAATCGGTTCGAATTGGTATGCTTTGGTTTGGTCCAATTCAAATGTCAATTTGGTCCATTTGACTTCAGTATTTATAAAATTCAAGGAACCAATGACCAAACCACATTATATTCGGTTCAGTATGGTCCAATCCAAACATCGATTTGGTCTGATATGGTTATGTAAGGACCAAATCAGTGTACACCCCTAGTCATGATTAGTGCAAGTGTGCAACCCTCGCTGAATCATTCGAAATGAGCTACTTTTACATGTTATGGATCTAGGTCCAAATTTTTTTTTTAATTGAATGGATCTATTGGCCTATGAGCTACTTTCTCTCTTCTTTCCAATTTTCAAATCTTAGATATGGTCTCCCAGATGTGTCCTTCTATGAAGGGGGGTTTTCATCTTCTTTAGATCAACTAATGGAGAAGAAGACTGATGTCTTAAATGATGGTTCAGCTACCAAGAATCCCATCAAGACTAAAGGCTCACCTCTACACTCCCTTTGTACAGAGTCCAGACGTCTTCACGATAGAGGATCAACAAAAAGAAAATTCTCTTCAACTGCATTCAAATCCCCCAACACCCAAAATCTCTCGTCTCCCTTCTGCATTCAAGGCCATATACCTTAAAAGAACATAAAATTTTCACCTTGTCAATCACAAGAGAGGACATAAAAACCTGTTCAGCCCAGAACGGAAGAAGAAACCTCCCCTCCTCAAAATGTACCTCGAGCCTAAAAAAGATTGCATATATGCGAGCAGAGATGAAGTAAAAGCCTTCTTGTTCTATCAACTCAACTCCCCAACTGCCTACCCTAAGCCATTAATTTTTTGTACATAACGGCCTCTAGCACCATATTTTTATTAAGTACCAAAAATAGGAACAAGTTCACCCAAAAAGCCACCCCCTTCTCTGAACCAAAAAAAAACCCTCCCACACAAAGTGAAAACAAATCGACCTGATATCCCTAATTTGGGTGGCCAAAACCTACTTGGGGAATAAGAATATCACGAAGAGGTTTTCTACGATAAAATACCTCAGAATCAGGGGACACAATATTTGCACTTAGTGGGGAAGGTTTTGTGAACCAACTTTCCATGAGATTTCATGAGATTGGTAACACTTTGTGAACCAACTGTCCATGAGATTTCAAAGATAAAGAACATCTTCTTCTTCTCCTTCAACCGTAGGGAAGAGATACTGAAGGCTTGGAATTGCAGACCATGGCCTCTGTCTGGGAATCTCCTCCAAATGAAGCAGTGAGAAGACTCCATCAGGCCTATAGATCTCAACTTTAACCTAGGAGATTTCTGGATCCAAATCCACGGCATTCAAGAACATAATAGGACAACCTCCAATGTGGAATCAGATGTTGATATGTTCCCAAGCTGCATGTTGTTGATATGAGAGGCCTTAATCCATAAAAGTTCATGGAATTTATAAGAGTCTTCATCTAAGTTGATCTCACTCGTCCCTTGCCTCCGAGATCTTACTACTCCACCAACGGGGTGAGGGACTGGCTTGGATTCAGGTATGAGAAACTCTATCTGTTATGTTACTACTCTGAGAGGCAAGGTCATTGCAAGGAGGAGTGCCAATGGAAGAAGGCTGATGAAGAGGCAAAAATCCAGGGCTGCTAGAGGGAAGGTACACCCAATGGATGAAGGCTGGAAAAAATGCCCCCGACCACCTCCTCTGCCAAGGGGTCGTATCATCCACCAATCTCCGGGCGATGCAAACTCTAGCACTGATTTGCCAGGTTTTAACCAGAACTGGATTTGGGTCTCGGGAGGAACATCTCCGGCGACGGGCAGCACACACAATGACACTCCGGTAAATCCATCTTTCTTAGGTACTGACAACAACTTAGGGAATGAAATTCGAGTCCCTCCTAGGGTCACTCCTCTTCCGTATCCAACGACACAATTGGTCTCAAGCCCAAGATCTACTACAAGCTCTACTGCTCAATTTTACCATTCTCCTTCTCTAACCAGGAACATGGTCCCATATAGGGCCCCTAGTGATATTCTCTCCTCTCACCAATATTTTTT